CAGGAGCAGCCAGCTGAGCTCTGTGCTGCATCGGTACTGTGGAGACAGGGAACGAGATGCCAGTCGGCCCCGGAGGCTGCATGGCCACACCTGGGTGAGGAAGTCTTACTGGATCAAACCAACTCCATGCAGAGCCAATGAGAGGGATGACTGTGCATGTTGACTAGTTTACAGTGAATCAGTAAACCAGCTTGAGGTGATGAGGACTTGACTGTAGAAATTTTGGGGTGGTTAGTTCAGATAGGGCACTCACACTTTAACTCCCATATCTTCCAGCTCTGCTAAGAGCAAGTGAAATGTTTGGAGATTCTGCCATGGTATCTCTGCTTACATGATGGGAGTGTACAGTTAATGGGTAGAAAAATTGAAGGGATGTGCAATTGGAAAGAAACATAGCTGAAGATAGTAGATGACTCTCTCATCCTAGCACACCAAGGGTTTATTTAGTCCATTCACAGTATTCCTTTTCTATTAACAACCTAAATTTTTAAAGTAATTTTGAAATGTCTTTCTTAGCCCTTAAAAATGCTTACTTTATCAAAAAGTCAAATATTTCTTGTAGGAGGTTTAAACATTATGCCTTAAAATCTCTCTCTGTGTGTGTGTGTGTATTTATATATATATATATATATTCTGAACCAGTTGGAGTGTTTTTCCTGCTCCCTATCCTTGCCTGAGACACCTCTGGTGGGCTTCCTTGCTGGCTACATGCTGAGGCCCACCCTGGTCCTACAGTTTTCTATCTCCTCTCTGTGCACAGACCTGCCCATTCTGTGTCTGTATTAGCTTGCAGGGCTCAGGAGCGGCATGCTTCGTCAGCAGAAGAGAGGTATTTGCTGGGGTCAGGGCCAGCCCAAAGCACAAGTAAACACACCAAGGAGCATGACAGGAACTGTAAATGATCCTCTACTTGCATCAGTTCTACTCGTGCAAGCGGCTGCTAGACATACTTCCTCCTGAAAATGCTGGCATCAGTGGTATTACCATGTGGCTAAAGAGTGTGTCTTTTTAAGGAGATTGATGGGATTTGTGGTAAGGCTACAGCCCACTGTGGTGTGGAGACATGAAACCCCCATGCTAGCACTAACCTGGCTGGGTAATGCCACGTTTCTCCTGTCTCTCTGTCTGTGAAAGTATTTTTAATAAGGGACAATTTTTTTAGCCTGAGCACAGCAATGGACAGTCTGGGATTTCGGGACCTGAGCTGGCAGATGGGGCAATACTACTGGCTCCAGAGTTGGCATGAGTGGGGCCAGCTCAGGTATCTCCAATATAAGTCCCTGCCTTCACAGTGTAGGGCCATTGAGATGCTGTCCCCTGGATGACAGGGGCCAGCTGTTGTCTCTGGTAGTCAGCAAGACAGAAGCCAGTGTCCCTTTCAAATAAGAAAAGGTACACCCAATATTTTCAGAAATATTCCTACTCCCATTAAAAGCCAAATCTCATAGCATTACTCAGATGAAAAAGCATATTTTGATTCCTGTCTATGAACTAATGAACCCAAGACCTACCCCTTTTAGACAGAATGTTGACACCATGATACCCCAGGGGTTTTCTTTCCTCTTTTCCAATGCCCAGAGCTGTAGCCAAGCGGCTACTGACTGCCTGATGGGTGTCAGCCTCGGTTCATTGGACCACAAGTATCAGATTGTGCAAAGAGATCTCAAATGCCCTGGATGCAGCAGAAACTATAAAAAGACAACAAGTCCAAGGAATTTGTGGGCTTTCCGCGCACAGGGATCACATGGAAATGTATGTTGGCTACCTTGCTTTTGGAGACTAGTGCTGATATTGAGACATTTTCTTATTTTTATGAAAGCATTTTTCACAGTGCTTAGCTTCAGGCATGAAATCATCTTTATCCATTTGGAGAAGCAGTCTGATCAATTACAAAGGCAATCCTTCAGTGATGGGAACTGAGAAGGTTCCATAACACTTGCTCTGCAGCACTTGCAGCAGCATTTATCGCTTATTCTGGGTTTCATAGGCAGCCAGTATCAGGGTCCTTAATTTAACCACATCAGCATGTCTTAAACCTGTCTTAAGCTGTAGCTGTTCTGAAATCCTCTGCTGTTGGTAAATTTCCCATTCTGCTGTCCATGAGCAATATTAGCAGCTTTCGTTGTGACATTCACATTCATTTCTAATCAGATTATAAAAGTAAAACATCATGTACAATATGTGAAAACTGCTCTTTTTGGGCAATTTGGAAATGCTCTGCCAAGTACTTTGAGACTGTTCTGATAAATACATAAAAATAATTCATCAAAGAATGTTTGATAAACTGCCACAAAAAAAAAAAAAAAAAAGGAGAGAAGCACTTTGCCCTGCGTTGTTCTTGGTGCTAAACCGCAGAAATCCAGCAGCAGGTCCCTACTCCAGTGTGGTCCCCATTACACGAGCACCCTGGTGCTGGGCCCGGGCAAGTTCCCATTCACCAAGGAGCACACATTAGGTTTTTGCAAAGGTCTGGGTACTACAAGAGGTAAAATCCTCCTTGGTACGTCTTTGCCGTGTTTGGGTCAGTATGTTCCAGTGGTTTCTGACTGATGATGTCATCAACAAGTACAGACCTGAGCATGGAATGGTGTGAAGAGACCTACGATATACAACAGCCAAATGCCAAACTCTCCATCCAGTTTTGTAACACAGGCCTGTGTACGTAAGCAGGGCTGTGTGTAACCATGGCATTAGCATATATAGAACAGATGATATGATTTTGGCTCTCTGGTCTAATTCCTTGCCAAGTTTCCAGTACTTTAATCATGATCTAATTTGAAATAATTAAATCAGTTATGTTTTTTTTTATAACTGCTTTTTTAAAAATCTCTAGGGCTATGAATACCATCACTGCAATCATAGCTAGAATCATTTTTATAATAACCTATAATGTTAAGTGATCAAATTTACAAAATTATCTGTAAACAAAAATCAGCAAAGCAGATTACTAACTGGTGGTGCTGAGCTCTATCCCAACAGTTGTGTCATAAGGTGAGATGTAACCATGGGTCTAAACTTGTGAGCTTTTGTAAAGTTGGCATATAAATTTTAAATCCAGACCTGTATCTAGAATTCATTTTTTTAAATCCATGTTACATCTTCCATCAAATTCCTGGATAAGGAAGCTTCTTGACCTAAAAGTGTTGAAAATCCATATCTGATTTTCTCATGCAATCATTTATTATCTTAAACCAATACACAAACTAAACCCAGACAACATGAGGGAAGAGTATGGATTGAATGGTAATGTAGAGACATATGTTTTACATTTGCTTTGGTTTGTTAGAAAACATTACGTTCTTGACTTCTGCTCTATTAAAAAAATAAAATAATTGCACATGATGGAAATTTACAATCCAGACCTTATTCTGCATTTCTTATACAAATACCTGGTGAGATTTAGCACAAATAATAAATAAAATACAAGCATTGGACTACCCACTTTTCTAAAGTCAATTGCTTCAAATATCTTCAAGTCTAAACAACCATGACATAAATCTTTCTAATGAATGGACATGTGCAGAAGTACAAGCATAGGGCTTTCATTTTGAACTAAAGGAACTCTCTGGGTTCAGCTAGCAAGAACCTGGGTTTTGTTCATCAGATTTTTCTCATATTCCTCAAATTGTATTTGTATTCAGTTTCATTTGAATATGTTTTTGATTTGTCCAAACAGCAGATGGCTATCATAAAGAGTCTGTATTTAACTTGGCACTTTCCATTCCACATTCCTTTACTATTCATAGCACAGCAGTCATACTCATCTCCAGCACACATAAAAGGAGGCAGTTTGACTTGCAGCTGCAGATCTCCTCAAATGTTTGAGTATTTACAAACTCACAGCATTTTATTGTTTTTTTTAATGTTGAGAAGACCAGATACTAGATATAGTAGGTGGATTTTTATTTCATCTCTACCACTCTCATGAAATGAGAGAAACTGGGACAGAAATTAAAACTGTATCTGTAGGAAGGAACCCCCGCACTTAAAATTAGATTCATGTAGAGCCCATGTTGATACAGGGAGTGAGTGGGACTACACATAGGCAGAAAAATTTGCTCTTGAAGACACAGACTGTCAAGCAGCATGAAGAATAAAATATTAGTCTGATTGAAAAACAAGACTAACTAAAATGCATAAGAATAAAGACATCTGTGCTAGAGTAATTCCTTTTTTATTACTGGGGCCTCACAGGAAAGAATTTGATCCTTTTGAGTATTTGTAAGCAACATATTTTTTTTCTTCAGTTGCTAATAGATAGCAGAATATGTTAAATAAAACAAATTTTCTAAAGGTCTTTGAATGTTTTCTTTCAAATTAATTCATCTTTGACAGAAAGTATCATTTTTACTTACTGTGTTTTCAAGCAAATATAGTCAGTGATTATTCTTTTTTCTTATAGTTTCAAACATGCAACAAACTTCTAAAAAGTAATATCTCGAGTTTTTTTAGCATACAAGCTTGAACTGCAGAAATAGTGATGAGTTTTTTTTCTTGATAGTATCCTTCAATCTCAATCTGTGTGCTTTTCCAGAGCCTGAAGGAAGAAGAATTTAATCTCAAAAATTAGAAAACAGATTTTTCAGTACATAAATTAAATTTCCATAAGACTCACAACCTGTCTATTTCTTCTTTAATGCTTATGACTACGTCATAACAAATGCTTATTCCTTAGGAATACAACTCCTCCTATTGAACTCATAAATGTGCTTTATTTTCAATACATTATCAAATAGGTTTTTTTCCTCTTGCTGTGACTAGTGTAAATTTTCTACTGTTCTAAAAGCCTGACTTTCCAGCACATAGGTAGCTGGAGGCAAGCAGTTTGACATTGCACATCAAGCAATAAACTCAGCATACTGAAAAATATATACACAAAAATTTTCTTTTACTGTAATATAAATACAGCCACATGCTCACTACACTCTACAGTGTTGCTTGAATATTATTTTGTTGTATTAAGAATGATTTTATCTCACCAATAGACTATGGACAAGACTCTAATTCTTTCCCACTGAGTTCTTCATTTCAACAACCAAAATGCCATCATGGCAGAAAAGCGCAGACAAATCTTTGTTCTCCACTCCGTTAGGTAATTTGTATTGTCTGGTAAAGCTCCTGGATATGAAACCATGTTCGTCCATCCTGGGTCCGTGCTGAGCTTTGATCAGGAGCCAGCCTTCAAAAGTCTGAATAATGATATCTTCAGGGCGGAACTGCACAACGTCCAGCAAGACCTGAAAGCATGTGTTTTCCTCCTCCTGGCCACTCTTCCCAGCCCCAGCTGTACTTTCTGCAATACACCTTCTGCTGCTCAGGGCAGCCGTAGAAGGGCCCGGCAAAGCGTACAAAGAGTGGTCCAGTTTGTGTGCTTCCAGCTCTTGGATGTCAAACTGCTCTTGATAGCGTATGGGAGTTTCCACCCAGTGTCTTATAACAGCTTCTGCCATTGCTGAGGCAGAAAGATAAGCTGCTGCTCCTGTGTTGCTTTGGGAAAGCTGCAGAGTCAGAGCAAACTCTTCCCAGTCGTACGCCTCACCCGCAGACTAGTTTATCGGTTGATGTCGCCTTTCACTTTTAGCCCAGGCAGAGCTTAACATTTAATAGGGCGCGCTGTGCTCCAGTGCTGGGAGACTTGTTTCATCTTTTATCCAATAACAATAGAGCACTATTTATAGTGCTAGGGTCTTGAGTGGCTTCAACACGTGCGCAGCCTTCACGCAGAAGTAGTAAAAGCAAAATTTTAATGCACCTCTGATTATTTCAATATTGTGTTGTTGTTGTGAATAATGAGTGAATAATGAGCAAATAATATGAAAGATTCTTTGATTTAAATGGAAGCTTAAGGATTCTGTTTTTCCAAGGGATACGTGGCAATAGATACAAACTCTGTATTTCTTCTAACTGAAATACGAAGTTACTGAGGGAAGGGATTTAATTAGCTCGACAGTAGGAATGGAGCAGATTTCATGTTAGGTAAACTATAAAATTATGAAGTGCATTGGACATTGTTGCAGAAGTTGTGCATAGGTGAAATACAGGACTGATTAACCATCTTATTGGCAGGAGGAGGGAACCGTAACCATCCCTGCCCAAAGAAGGGGTGTCTGAAGGGCTAAGTCTGCAATCCGAGTAACCTACAAACACAGCAGAGCCTTTTGCAGCATGTCAGGGAGTCAGACTCAAGACTGCAGGGAGAACTACAGTGAAACTCATGTTTCACAGCTTCCAGGAGAGGGCAGAGTTATTTTTTCCCAGCAGGATAGTAAAGACAACTCCAAATCCTTAATGTTATCACATTGTCCCCGTAGAAGACCTTCATCTTCTGGGTCTTAACGGCTTGAATGTCTGATCCCATCTACCGCATGCGTCTGGGAGGCAGAACTGATGACCTCAAAGGCTCTCTGTGGTGTAATCTTCTTGCTACTCTGTGATCTCAAGGCAAATAACGCCTCCAAATGTTAATAGTTTCATTAACAAGACCTAAGGGGAAAGTGCAGTGAACAGGAAAAAGCATTTCTAAATTTTAGTATGTTGGCTAGAAGATCCCTTTAGCTGGGCTGGGTAATGTAAAGCAGAATGCACAATGGCAACTGATGGTGAAAACTGTTTATTTCCCTCAGTTGCTCTAATGCTAGAAATAATCAAATGAGATACTTTTGTTCCTTCTTGTTTGACTACTGTTGTTCAGAGCTCTGCCCCACTCTTGTCTTTACATCTCCCATTACCATGAAAATGGCAAGTCAGTTTATATGGGATCTTTGGTTTCTAATGGACGCATGAAGAAAAAGGCATTTGAATTTCGATAGCCATCAGAAATTAACTGCCGTATTGAGTTAATCGATCCTGCATTAATAATTAATAAAAGCACTGTGCAGGAATACACCATTCTTTTATTTTTTTATTTTATTTTAATTATTCCCATCTTCTCTGGAGAAAGGTAAACTAGCCTACACTTACACTTTAAACGAAAACAGAAACCATCACCTCATGCAGCTCACTGTGGGGCAGCTACATCTATTCCCAGAAACAGTTGTGTTAGTCTTTCAAATGTCTATCTTAAGCATACTTGGAACTGTGTGTCTGGTCTAATTAGCATGAAAGATGCTTTGAATACCCTTTAAATTCATGTCATGCGCAAAGCTCTACAGAAGTTTATAGGATCCCTTTCCACTCTGTAGGCCAAGGAATCAGAAAGATTTTGGTAATGAAGCCTTGTAGGCTCTTTCTGCTCTCCCATCCTGCACTCAACTTGCTCCCAGTCTCCTCTCTTTTTACCACCTAAGGGCTCAGGAATTAGCATCATCTTTCGTATCTCTTTCTTGGTAACGCGGAGAATATGTCAACTGGAAAAAGAAAACGCCCTTGAAATGCAAACATGTCAGCAATTTAGAATACGTTTTCGGGCTTTCAAATTTAAATATGAACGTGGTGCTGCAATACTGAGGAACTTTCGATGCGTATGCTGGTTCATGTATGCGTATTCATAAAATATCTATAGCACGCTTCAGTCAAGCAATGCATTTTGAAAACAGTTGATTACTGAGGTAATTTTAAACCTTCAGAGCAGATGCGGCAGCAGCAGGATCGATGCCCTTCATTGCCAGCGTCAGGTTTTCTTTCTTTTTTTTTTTTTTTCCGTGCACACGAAGGCCTCACCCCATGCTGCCCAGTGGGTGGGAAACCACCGACTGGTGTGGGAAGTATTGCAGGGCTGCTCTTTGCAAAACTAAAGTGAGGCAGTTACCTATTGTGGCCTTACACTTGTCGGTACGCGCTCTATTTCGCCGATCGTACGTAATTATGGTCTCAGTATCTTTTGAGGATTTCTAAAGGAATAGGATCCATTGGCAACTTGCAAGCGTCGGCTGGGAGAAACGCGGTGCGGGTATAAACGGGTCACACCGACATCTTGTGGTAGGACGACAAAATAGCTGCGGAAAGGGAATCACGGGCTGCCTGCTGCACGCTGGGCAGGCATCGTTACCAGCCTGTGAAATACTTGTATGGAAAGACAAATCAAAGGAAGAAAACCGCAGGAGGTTAACTTACAAAAGGCTTTTTTCAAGCTAATGTAAGGTTCTTTCTCTGTATTTGGGGGGGGGGAGGGTGCGGAATAAATATTTTATTCATGTTGAACTCATGGAAAATACAGAAAGCAGGCACCCTGGTAAAGCTGTATTGTAAAGTGCAAAAATGTAAGGTGCACCGACTCATGAGAATAACACATTTTTGATGCATATCTTAAAGAAATACAGGTGCATCCTGCTTGATACAACATTAAAATAATAGATTGCCTTGTCGCAATTCTCTGCATGCTTCATTTCCCCAAGTATGTATTTCAACTACCATTGAAAACCAGTAACTGCTGAAAGGGGAAAAAAGCAAAAAGGCTGGTAGGATGAAGCAAACAAGTACTCTTCTAGCAAAAGCTAACAGGCTAAATTCAAATGAGAGCCATGTAATTATCCAGATGAATTTAGGCAGAGGACTGCAATTACTTTTACCAAAGCACCCAAGGATCCCACTCATGATCTAGTTCACATGTTCAAAAGGAATGCTATCACTTCTGATTTGGCAATAGATAAGAAACATAAGGAAGAGTAGGACTTGGTGGGTTTTACCAGTGCTGGCTCTGTTATATACAATATGGAAGTTTAAGCTTTGCGTTGATACCAGAGCGCTAGATAGTAAAATAAAATATATGTGAGAATGGAATGTGGTGTGACTGTGGATGGTAAAGAGCTATTTTCCACATGGTATTTAATGTATTTTTGTAGACTAAGAAAATTATTGTCTCCTACTGGTGTCACTTTGAGTCCATTGCTGCTTAGAGCTATTTGTCGTCCTTCTGGCTGTATTGTTAGGTCTGGATATATGTAAGCTCTGAAGGAATCAAAAATGTAATCACAACTACTGCAATTGTCTAATCAGCAGATATCAGGTGTTCTGCTTTCAAGAAATACTAAGGGATTCTTTTTTATTAATGTCTCATTCCAATCACATGGTATTTATATTGGTCAGTGAATCACAACATGACTCTTTCTACAGCAAGACTTCATGCTATGTTATAAAATTTCTTGCAAGTTTTAAAGACTGTGCTGTTACACAGCCAGCTTAACTGAAGGAAGGCTTCAGTTCATGGGTCATGTCCTTCAAAACCTGGAAAAGGCTGGATCTGCCCAACCTCTTGGAAAATCTCTCCAGGGCACTGATGCTACTTGTAACTGTAAACTCAATCTCCTAATTTTAGGGGCCTCTTAAGAAGTGGAAAACAAATCTCAGCTTTTGCACTAAGAATCAAGTGTTTGCTCATTTGTTAGGAAGCTATGTAAGGAGTATAAGTCCACATGGAAAGGACTATAATTTTTATATGTTACATCCACAATTACAAGACTTTTTTTTTTTGACATGTTGTGCTGATAGAGGGGCAGATGAAGGATGAGGATGAGGAATAATGGGACCACAGCAGCCACTGTTGGAGCAACATCTTTACAGAACGGTGAAGGAATAAAAATGCAACTTGTATGATAATGATTTTAAAATTTCAAGTTACTAAAAAAGTTACTTTAAAGTGATGCCAACCATATCCTGGGCTGCATCAAAAGAAGCATGACAAGCAGGTTGAAGGAGGTGATTCTCCCCCCTTGCATCCAGCTCTGGGGTCTCCAGTACAGGAGAGACATGGAGCTGTTAGAGCTAGTCCAGAGGAGGCCACGAAGCTGATCAGAGGGCTGGAGCACCTCTCCTGTGAGGACAGGCTGAGAGAGTTGGGGTTGTTCAGCCTGGAGAAGAGAAGGCTCCAGGGAGATCTAATTGCGGCCTTCCAGTACCTGAAGGGGCCTACAGGAAAGCTGGAGAGGGACTGTTTATCAGGGAGTGTAGTGACAGGACAAGGGGTAATGGGTTCAAGCTGAAGGAGGGTCGATTTAGATTAGATATAAGGCAGAAATTCTTCACTGTGAGGGTGGTGAGGCACTGGAACAGGTTGCCCAGGGAAGCTGTGGATGCCCCATCCCTGGAAGTGTTCAAGGCCAGGTTGGATGAGGCTTTGGGCAACGTGGTCTAGTGGAGGGTGTCCCTGCCCATGGCAGGGGGGTTGGAACTAGATGATCTTTGAGGTCCCTTCCAACCCAAACCATTCTATGATTCTATGTTGTGGAATTCTTCACAAGTATTTGCTTTATTATTCATATGGCTTGTTTTCTAAACATTTTTATGTCTGTTATAGGGAAATGCATCTGTGCCTCGCAAGTTCTTGAGGAACTCTTACAGAAAGCAAACCATAGCACTTTATTTGGAGTGATAATAATCTGTTCACTTCTTGCACACTGAACAGTGGAGAGGAAACGAACAATTAAAAGAGAATAATGTGCCTAAGGGCTTGGAAGCTCTGTTTTGCCACTGAAAGGCAGGATCTAATCACTCTTGCTGTAGATACAGTCTTACT